CTTACGCACAATATACTTGTAATCTTGAGTTTTAAGTAACATACATTAATAAACAGTACTTTATGCATACAAAGTGGTTTTAAAAGTTTTTGTCAAATAATTTATAATATAAATACTTCTAAATATTTTTCGCTTTTTAAATTAAAAAAAATATGTTTAATATTAATTAATTTTTTTACCCCATGATTAAGAAGTAATGTTATTTAAGCCCAATAAAGTAAAATAACGTCACAATATATATTTATAGTTGGGTTTCGATGAAAATGAGAGTTAAAGTGAAAAGTGTAAGAAAGTGATACCTACCCTTGGATGCACATTAGGATGGGATCAACCGAGATGAAATGCACCGAGATCCACCGTATCAAACGTGATTCATGCATGGGTTTGAGATTAAAGGTGATCAAGGGTCCTGATCATTTCTTAACTTTAACTCTACTTTTCACACGATCTTTCGTCTATATATTTAAGCCTACAAATTGATCGTTGTTGTGACTTAGTATTAGGGTAGTTTACTAAATGTTTACAACTAGTGTTTATCGGCAAGAGTTACTATCTTCACTTATCTTGTCGGATAACACTCTTTGGTCATCAAAAATTGATTGTTAGTAGATGTGTCTTATGCGATAACATTAATTGGGTAAGATTCTTCTACCTCATTTATTGGGCAAAATCTTAGTCATTGTCATGCTCACTCGGTAAGGTAAGTGATACTCGGTAAGTCTTTGGTAAACGACCTATTAGTCACGTTGAATTGGTCCTAAACAACAAAGAGAAAGCGAGATACATGGTGAGGGTATGTCTAGAGAAGATGCCACCAACCAAAGAAACAGATGGAGATATTCGCAATAATGTAACATCTTAAGTGAATCTCACATTATCAATGCACAACGAAGATAATAGGTGTATGTATGTATGTGTGTGTATATATATATATATATATATATATATATATATATGTGAAGGATCATGTCAGAAGGAGAATTAAGTTGAAAGGTGTAAGAATGAATCTGGACCCTGATCACCTTTGAATTCTTCTTTTAAGTTAAGGAAGATTGATATATGTAACACCCCAAATCCATATTTGCATAAATCACATATTCCATTTAATAGAAAATACAAATTTACACATTGGTCCCACAATATACACGGTACTACATACAAAAGTGACTACAAATCTTTTTCATATACACCAAGTATAAGACTTGTAAACATAACAAGTTCTCAAGTACAAATAACATAACAACTTTCAAAAATCCACATATGTAATGCAATCATGATCTTCTTCACATTTTCCCTTTTCCCTTATCCTTCAAATGTGCCCGACCTGTAATGCATATTTTAAAACACAAAATAAGTGTTAGTCCATAAGGTCTAGTGAGAAATCCCATTTGATTGTTATTACAGTGTGAAAATCACCAAAACACTTTTAGAAAGCTCATATTTGTATGGATAACAAACAAACTTTTTTGTCGCATCATATAGATGAGACAATATTCTTTTTATCGCATCAATCATAATCATATCGCATCTCATTGATGCGATTACATTTTTATAGCATCACAATAACTTTGTCATATCATATAGATGCGATATTACATTTCCTCGTATCACATTGATGCAATTACTTTACTTTGTCGCATATCAATTATGCGATAACTCCACTTTGTCGCATCACAAGAATACGATAACCCATCTCCTCGCATCAGATTGATGCGATAAAATACCTTTCTCGCATCTCATTAATGTGATAACCTCATTCCTCGCACTATACTCATGCGATAAAATCATCTCATTTTCATCATAATGATTTGATAACCACACTCTTCGCATCATGGAGATGCGATAATAGTTCTTATGTGATCAAAGTTCCATTTTTAACGTACAGAAGGTTTTGCCACCCTTATCCCAATATACATCTCTCTTGATTTTGCCACTCTTATCCCAATATACGTCTCTCTTGATTTTGTCACCCTTATCCCAAAATATCTTTCCTAATTATGTCACCCTTATCCCAAAATACTTAAGCCACCCTTATTCCAACCAATTATTAATAGCATATCAAAACACAAAATTATGCTAAAAATTAGCATATAATCAGTTTCAAATCATCTCATATATGGAACCATATGATTTTGTATTAACACAATCAAATGATGTTTTAAAATAAAAACTCACTTTATGAATCACAAAGAGATGCAGATATAAGATGGAAACAAATTAGCTAAGAATCACAAAACTAGTTTCTTTCTTCTTCAATTTTCTATTTGCTTCTAACCAGAGCAAATATACACACACTTTTTTCTTTTTCTTCAAAATACCTCAAGTAGTAACAAATATCCTTATAAAATGAGTATATTTAATAAGAGGCGGTGGATTTAAAATGATATTTTAAACAAATTTTCATAATAGACCCTCAACTCTTTGCCACTAATCAAAAGCAGCCCAAAACTTTTATAACAAATAACTCGATTATAACAATATCCTCCACTCAAAAGAATTCTATCCAAGAATTCAATCAATCAAACAACTGGGGATACTTCTTTCTCATTTCTGACTCTAGTTCACAGGTTGTTGGAACCCAGTTGGGGTCTAACACAGGTAGCCTCTTGCCCTTTATGAAATCGCCACTGGACTTTCACTAGACTAATTTCTTTAATTCTTAACACCTTAGTCTTTCGGTCAATGAAGACCTCTAGAGTTTCCACAAAATTCAACTTTTCATCAATCTGAATCTTAGGTAATGGTACGACCATATTTGGATCAGCCAAACACTTATGTATATTAGAAACATGTAAAGTGTTGTGAATAACATTTAGTTCTTTTGGTAGTTCTAACTGATACGCTATTGTACCAATCCGTTTATTGATTCTGAACGGCCCAATGTACCTCGAACTCAGTTTACCTCTCTTCTCGAAGCATACAATACCTTTTCCACGGTGAAACTTTCAGTATTACATAGTCTCCCACTAAAAGTTCAACCGATTTTCGACGTTTGTTGGCATAGCTCTTTTGTCGGTCTTGTGTTGTCTTTATTCTTTCCCGAATTTGATCTATCTTTTCGGTCGTTAACTGTACAATTTCAGACCGTCCAATTATTTCTCCCCCACCTCATTCCAACATAAACAATGTTCTACATTTTCTGTCATACATAACTTCATATGTTGTCGCTTGGATGCTGGAATGATAATTGTTGGTGTAGGCAAATTCAATTAACGACAAATGATTCTCCCATGATCCTCTAAAGTCAATGATACACGCTAGCAACAGATCTTCGAGTGTCTGAATCATTCTCTCACTTTGCCTGTCAGTCTGTGGGTGATACATCGTACTTAACCGAATTTGAGATTTCATGGCTTTCTGAAAGCTTTCCCTGAATTATGAGGTAAACTGGTTGTCTCTATTTGAAATGATTGATAAAGGAACACCGTGACGGGTCACAATTTCATCTATATAGATCTTTGCAAGTCTTTCAAACGGATAATTCTCTTTGATCAATAGAAAGTGCACAGACTTTGTCAAACGATCCACAATAATCGAAATAACATCATATTTTTTTGTAGTTCGCGATAGTTTCATTATGAAATATATTGTGATATAATCTCATTTCCACATAGGAATTTTTAAAGACTGCAAATTCCCATAGGTTCGTTGTTGTTCTATTTTTACTTGTAAACACACCAGACACCGTTCCTTGTATCATGTAATATCCTTCTTCAACCCCGGCCACCAATAGAATGGTTTTAAATCTCTGTACATTTTATTGGTACATGGGTGAATCGAATATCGATATTTGTGACTTTCATCCAAAATTAACTCGCGGTTGTGTCCAAGATGAGGCACCCAAATTCTACCTT